TACGGATCTCGATCTAATATTTCATTCAGAAAGTCTGTAAGTCCTTTAGTGGCAAAAATATACACTAATAAGTAGAAAATAATTTATAGAAAAAGAAGGACGATTTTCTAGAAGCGCCTATATATTTGCCAGCGATTTTCTTGAAGATCTGATTTTCAAGAGGAATCGATTTTTTGTTCATTTTCTAGCAATCATAAACCGAAAATTTTTTCCGCCTTTCCCAAACTAAAACAATTGTTTATTCGTTTTTATGATGTATTTCGTCTTCGTGTCACACACTTTGTTCAGAATTGGTAGGTGAAGGAAAAGCTTGGGGTGACTATTCAAAAATAATTCTGTTGAGCCAATGCTCGGTTCACATTGGGCCATGGCCCAATGGCCCTTCCCGTAGTTATGCCTGTGATATCCTTGGCTCAGTCTTAGTTACGTAGTTGAGTTTTATTTCTGTGATGATGGTGCACATATTAAACGAAAGTACTGCATCAAATTTTTCTAAATGATCACCACGCGGTATAATTTGTGCAACTTCAAAGACAATGTGTGCTACGGAACTCTTACCATTTTTCGATCTTGCATATGTACTATACAGCTTCTGGGAAATATTCAAGTTCCCACACAATCTTTATAGTTATAAAGTCTACTATGAGAAAGATCACGTACATTTTAAATCTGTTGATTTTTTTCAACTGATTGATGGACGCATATATGTATACACTGTGGTCTTTGGTCAGAAAAATTTATTGCTTCCTTTGACCGACAACAGAGTCCCAAAACAACCTTTTTTCGAGCAAATCTCAATTTTAAAGTTACAATCCTCTATTATTTAGAATGTCGTAAGGAATTTCACAAAAGAATTTTTGATGTCTGTCAGAATTAGTGCCATACGTATAATGGTACTCCAGAAGTTAGCTATCCTACGGCACCAATTCCAGTTTTCCCACATATTTTTCGCTCTAATACGGGTGAGGAGAGGCGGCAGGGCGAAATTTCTCGCAAAAAGAGTCCATCTACCAGCAAATTTCATCTTTAACCTTATACTTCTCAATTCTTCCAGAATATTGTGACGATTCCACAAAAAGAATAACACCCGCTAGATGGTTGAAAATCGAAAAATGTGGGGGCAAGTTAGAACGCGCTTAAAAAGTTCAGGCTGACTCAGCTAAAAAAAGTCCCATCTGGCCTACCGTTAAAAACCCTTGATTGACCTGGATAGGGCTAGACGGGATTAGAACGGTCTACCAATGATTTCTGAACTACCCATGCGTCAAAAAGAATCAAGTATCGCCTGATTTATCTAGATTACTAGATTTTTACTCGATTGCAACTACTGTGTAATCACAGTGGAAATCTGGTAATTAGGCGATTACCAGATTTTTTCTAGTTGCAACTATCGATTTATCGCCGATAATCGATCAACTTAACTATTGCTAGATGCACATGCAGACGCATCTGGTTAAAGTCCCTTTTTCATCTAGATGGCAATTAGTCGTGTATCGTCCGATTATAGACGAAATGTATCTAGATTTTTCCCATGGGTAATGTTTGCTTGGGTACATTTTCAACTACGGAAGAGTGAGGTAACCTACAGCTAAAACTTTGACAGATTCATAAAGTCAGCTTTAAAGTTTATAAATTCAACTCTCGAAGAGAATAAGTTGATCTTTTTAGATCGATAGATTTTGAATGAGATGTGCTCAAAAACAGATGTTTGGAATAAATTTAATACAATTTTCAGAAAATCTCCTCATTCACAATGAGTTCATATTCCATCTGAGAGAGCGTGTTTGATGTGACAACTACTTTTTTCTTTTTCGATATTAGGAATTTGGGAATCTAAAAATTTACAACCTTCAAAAAAGCTTTTTGATAGTACAATGGATAGCCAAACAGGAGTACTGTCACAGGAATTAGTAAGAATTGATGATTCACAAGCTCAGCAAATGGCTTATAATCGCAACCATAAACTTCCATCGAGAGTAAATACGATCGTCACGACAAACGGTGTTGACGATACCTTGAAATATCCAAAATCAAAACAAATGTCACTGTCACATGTACAAGTTGTTCGACTTGAACCACCGACGACCACACACCCGTCTCGTTCTTATTTAAAAAAAGCAGAAGATGCTAGGCGTCATGGTCCATCACCTCAAGCATTTAATAAATCATCAGACCATTTGTTTTCGTCAACAATTCCAAAACTAGAACAGAAGCGTTTGCAACAAGATCAGCAACAACGAGTTGTTTCACCTTCTGCACAATTTCAACAACCACAGTTGATTAATTCAGAAAATGCAACCGTTGAAGCATTGAGACGTCCACACAATGCTGATGGCTATCATCAATGATCACCTTTACTCAGAAAAGATCGAGATTTGCCTCGATCATTACAACATGAGCTAACACTTCAGAGAAAATACTGCTCCTAATTAGGGGTATTTTCAGAGTTGTGACTTAAAAGACGTAGAGAATGAACGGAAGCGAAATTCAAAAATCGCAACGGATAAAATTTTAGATTATCTACTTTCATTTGAAACCACTCACAGCTTTCTGCTACTTCCAGCAAAAAAGCCTTAGCGTTTTTGCTAAAAGCACTATTTTGCTCTTAATCCACCTATAACTTGGCAAGGCTCTAAGCTTTCGCGCTCAAGTTTTTAGCACAAGCTAGGTGGACAGTAAGCATCAATCTCTGTAAGTGCCATCGAAATCGGATGTGGAGGAAAAAAGGTTTTTCCTGAGGGGGAGCCACTTAAATCGTTCATGAAAGTGAAAAATTTTGCACCAAATAGGAAACGTTTACAAGTTAAACTCGATGATTTATTTTCATTTCACTTTCGAACAATCACACAAAACTTTTATTACATCAAATTATTTACTTGCATCAAAAATTAAGCAAATGTCATTGGTTTATTCTTACATGCAGTAACCATCTAGTATAAATCGCCCTCGCTTGAATCGTCATCATCTTCTTCACTCTGATCTAATCCCCTTACCCGAATATTGAATGGATCTTTGAGCGTCTGAATTCGTCTGTGAAACCATGATGGCGCTTTATCGAGCACACGTACAGGTATGCGGTTAATTTTTGCCTCGCGAAAGCACCATAATCGGCGATTATTTAACGACCAAACATTTCCACTTCTAGTTTGTACAACGCGCATGCTAGGAATTTGATCAGCAGTTTTGACACCATATTTGAGTTGGTGACGCAAATCATCAATACTCTTGCCGTTTGAAAAGCAATCTACAAAAGAAAAATGTGTGCTTTTATCTAGAAGCATTATTCTTTTCTTAACCTTTTATAGACGTCTGTGTATAACGAATATTCTTTGGATTCATGTATTCGACGGTGTAATTCTGGCTATTTATATCATCATCAAAATCTTCATTTACGCTCCATCTATACCCTCCGTCGTCTTGGAGCATAAAATAATTTGGATGTACGGGATCTAGTGTTACATATTTCACTGTCCGTAAATGTTTATCTATCTTGAACGGCATATTACAGGACC